TGCAACCTACCCAGTCCTCACGTGCCTAATGTGTCTTATCTTAGCCTCATGGCCAGTGTCTGCCCTGTCCTTAAGGCTCAGACTCTGTGTCCTGCCCTTCTCCGAGGTCCTGTTCAGAGATGTCAAGGTCGAGCCCGCAGGCCCGGCGGCCAACCAGGGGGCCCTGGGGGCAATTATATGTTTTGCCGCCCCCCGCCCCCATACACTTTTTACTCGGGACCCTCTCGTCTCGAGTTGAGAGGACGTTGTAACCTTCCAGAATAAACAAACTCAGTAAAAATAAGTTCCACGTATCTCCACGCACGGACTCCAAGGGACCCTTGTCGATCCAAGGAGGCCCTCTATCCATACTCGTCAGCGGAGGCTCCTGAGACTGATGGCCTGAGAGGCGCTAGTGGATCTGAGGAGGCCGGAGGCCCCAATATCCAAACTGGTCTGGAAAGGCCCCTGACACTGGCGGTCTGAGAGGCCCGTCTATCCACACTAGTCAGAGGATGTCCCTGAGACTGGTGGTCTGGGAGGCCTCTCAATTTACATTAGTCAGAATAGGCCCCTGACACTGGCGGTCTGGGAGGCCATTTACCCTCACTAGTCAGAGAAGGTCCCTCTATCCTCAATAGTCAGAAGAGGCCTCTGAGACTGATGGTCAGAGAGGTCCTAGTGAATCTGGGGAGGCCCCTCTCCACATTGTTCTAGGGAGGCCCCCGAGACTGATGGTCTGAGGGGCCCTTTTATTTATACTGACCACAGGAGCCCCCTGAGATTATTGGTCTCAGAGGCTCTCCTGTTTCTACTCACCAGAGGAGGCCCCTGGGATTGATAGTCTAACAGGCCCTTCTATTTATACTAGCCAGAGGAGGCACCTGAAACTGGTGGTTGGAGAGGTCCTACTGTTCGTAATAGGTAGAGGAGGCCCCTGAAATTCAGGATATCAGAGCCATTCCTATGCATACTAGCCAAGAGAAGACCCTGAAATTAATTATCTGAGAGGCTGATCTATTCATACTAGCCAGAGAAAGCCCCTGGGATTAACCCTCGCCCGCACATGCCATCTTCCCATCCTAGAACGCACATGGGGGGTTGCCACCCCCCCGCGCCATTTCGTTCTTGTTGCAGATAGAGCTTTGCGGTAAAGACTAAAAAGATTCTTTGGGAAAAGACGAATCCAATGATGCCCAGTTTTACCTTCTCAGGTCAGTCATTGACCTTCCAGGTCAGGTCAAACTAAAAAAATGTTACTGTTTTGGGTCACCGTTGGAAATCGAGTGCGCTGCTGATCATATACCGATGACGATGCCGTATTGTGGTGCCAAGCCAGCTAGAACCTCTATGTCACACTATCCGACCAGGTTTTTGCTGGTGAGGTCATCTCAGGTCAAGTTAGGTCAATGTCAATGATATGTGTTTGTATGTCTGTGTGTGTCTGTGTGTATACTGATGTGTGCACCGATTGTTTATGTGTCCATATTACATGAGATCATGAAATGAGAAACTTTTACTAAAAATGCGGTCAAAGAAACTTCACAAAAAGTAAATTCCGCTTGCCTAAAACGCAATGTTTCCAGATGACCAAGGTTGACCTTGACCCTAACCTTGGCATCTGTATATCGTCGAACAACATGTTCACTGATAGGGGAGGTAAGACTGGAAAAAAGGCCGAAATCAAGGTGTCAAAAGCTCACAAGACCCATGGCCAACGCAAGATATTGGGTACTTGTCATTTGGGTCATGACATGACCTGATGAACAAGGTCATATCTCCGAAACCCAAAATCACAGAGACTTGACATTTTCAGTGGACATCGAGAAAGGATAGAGGAGCAGCTATACGAAAAATCAGGCATCTAGCTCCAAAAATGTTGAGTGCAGAGCAGAAAAAAACTACCTGGGGTGACAACCATCCCCCCCCCCCATGTGCGGGCGAGGGTTAATGATCTGAGAGGCCCTTCTATCTGTACCTACTTGCCAAAGGAGGCCCCTGAGACTGATGGTGGCCAGAAGAGGCCTTCGAGACTGATGGTCTGAGAGGACCTTCTATTCAAACTATGCAGAGGAGGTCCCTGAGAATAAAAGTCCTAAGAGCCCTGCGGCGGCAACTGGCCGTTAAAAAAAAAATCTGGCCATATTTCGGCTCGGTAGGGCCCCACAGAGCTCGTGAGAGCACCTCGAGGGCTGCTAAGTAGACACGCTTATCTCCATAAGGGTGCCACACCAGCTTCTGAAGGCTCCTTGTAGGCACCTAAGGGCCCCTTCAGGCCTCTAACGGCTCCACCCGCCTGTAATGGCTCCACACCAGTGTTTATGAGCGCCACACACCGGCGCCTTTGAAGGTCATACCTACCAGTGTCTCTTAAAGGAAATAGTCCACTTTTCACGTGTTTTTTTTTTTATAACTGGAATAGCAGTTTTGTACTTTGTAGCTTGAGCTGAGACTAGCACAAAGATGATTGGCTCTTTGTGGCTTTTACGGCTCAACAATCACCCTAGACGAAGATATTCCATTTCTCATTCCAAAAAGAGTGCCTTTCAGAGGAATGCGCGCCTTGCAGAGGAATGCAGTCACCTCATCGTCAGCCAATCAGCATGGGTATGTTTGAACTACACAATATGATTAGTCAACGCGTTGTAAGGTTCCGCGATAAACATAATTTTATATAGAATATAGTTCTTCCTAGATTAAAATATGGAAAATAATCCTTCATACAAAAAGGTTTTATTTTATTTTCTGATAATTATGATCATGAAAATCATTAATCTGTAGTAAAATACAAATTTCAGGAAAATGAACCATTTCCTTCAAGGCCCTATACCTATCTGTGGCTCTGAGGGCCCCACACCGGCGCCTCTGGGGCCCACACACGTGTGCATCTCAACTCTCAAGGCTCTATAGGTGCATCTGAAGGACCCACACCGACACCTCTGAGGGCCCCACACCAGTATCTCTGAGCTCTAAATGCCCCACACCGGTGACTGAGGAGTGAGGACACACCGGCGCCAGAGAACACTAACGGCTCCACAAGGCCACTGAATCACTGAGCTCTAATATCCCATACCGGCCTCTGAGGGATACCGGCCTCTGAGGGTCTGAGAGGCCCGTCTATCCACAGTCCACACTAGTCAGAGGAGGTATCTGAGACTTCGGACTATTATTCTCAGGGGCCTCCCATGCCTAGTTTGAATAGAAGGGCCTCTCAGACCATCAGTCTCAAAGGCCATTTCTGGCCACCGTCAGTCTCAGGGGCCTCCTTTGGCAACTATAGATAGAAGGGCCTCTTAGATCATCAATCCCAGGGGTTTTCTCTGGCTGGTATGAATAGAAGAGCCTCGCAGATAATTAATTTCAGGGTCGTCTCTTGGTTAGTATGAATATGAGGGGCTCTCATACCCTTAAGTTCATGGGCCTCCTCTGCCTTTTATGAATAGTAGGTCCTCTCAAACCACCAGTTTCAATTGCCTAGTCCTCTGGCCAGTGTGAATAGAAGGGTCTCTCAGACCATCAGTCTCATTGGCCTTCTTCCGGCCAGTATAAACATAAGGGCCTGTTAGACCACCAATCCCAGGGGCGCCTTAGGTTAGTATAAATAGAAGAGTCTCTCAGACCATTTATCTCAGGGGGCTCCTGTGCAGCTGTGGCTAGTATAAATAAAAGGGTCTCTCAGACCATCAGTCTCGGGGCCTCCCTAGGACAGTGTGGATAGAGGGGCCTCCTCAGATTCACTAGGACCTCTCTGACCATCAGTCTCAGAGGCCTCTTCTGACTATTGAGGATAGAGGGGCCTCTTCTGACTAGTGAGGGTAGGGGGATCCCAGACCACCAATGTCAGGGGCCAATTCTGACTAGTGTGGATGGAGGGGCCTCCCAGACCACCAGTCTCAGGGACCTCCTCTAACTAGTGTGGATAGACGCCAGACGGGCCTCTCAGACCGCCAGTGTCAGGGGCCTCCCCAGACCAGTGTGGATATTGGGGCCTCCTCAGATCCACTAGCGCATCTCAGGGCATCAGTTCCAGGGGCCTCCGCTGACGAGTATGGATAGAGGGCCTCCGCTGACGAGTATGGATAGAGGGCCTCCTTGGATCAACAAGGGTCCCTTGTACTCTGTGCGTGGGGATTCGTGGAACTTATTTTTACCGAGTTTGTTTATTCTGGAAGGTGACCACGTCCTAGACGAGAGGGCCTCGAGTAAAAAGTGGGTGTGTGTGGGGGGGGGGGGCAAAACACATGGTTGGCCCCCAGGACTTCCTCTGAGATGCTAGGGGGGGGGGGGGCATAGCCCGCAGTGATGCCGCTGGCCCCCCAGTGAAGCTGAAAAGAAAAATAGGTCCTCTCGGCATCACTTATCATTCTGCTAGGGACTTCATGGTGGTGCGCCGCCCCGCATGAAAACTGCGCGGCTTGAATCAGGCATCAGTACACGTTCAGAAACTGAGCCCACCTGTGCAGCCTGGTTGAGTGGCTCTAACCAATCGCTAGCCAGGATGTTGCGCCGGTAATACTTATCACTGATAGTGGTTTTCTGTGGCGTCATGAACAGCTTGAATATTACACAGCAGCTGAACATGCTTCAGGTCTAGATTTTGGCCGGATGTTTGACGCCGGGCGACGCCGTTCGAGCTGCTGGCAGCCCACACATGGTCAATTTGACGGCTCAACGGATATCGCAGCTCGAACGGCTTCCCATCCGACCAGGCCACCTCATTCATCTCTTCCTTCGACCAGTGGAAACGCCCTGGCCTGAGTCCAAAGGTGGTGGACTGGTTGTTGTCCCGTCAATTTCATTGTCTTTTTCAGTTTGAAGGGCAGCAAAACCAAGCTAAAGGGCGGGTAATGGTGAATCATGATGTGGGACCTCTTATTATCTGCCTTGGTAAGAATTCGAGTCTGTTTGCGTTTCCCAGTCGCTATCTTGACAACTCTTCTCACCACTTGGCAAAGGGCGCCTTTTGCGATCGACGCCGGACTGAGTCTGCCACCAAGTCCCAGTCTGTTACGCCTCAGGCAGATGTGCTACTGGCTGCTGCTGATGTCCAGCTGCTGACAGACCAGCTCCTGGCTCATGCCACCATGCCACTAACACTTAGCCTTACTACGAAACGAGAGACTGTACTCCCTTCTCTCCACTTCCTTGAACGAAAACTCTCAAATGAAACCGTTGGCGACTCGACTCTTACTAAGAGCAAGAGTCATTTCGCAAGGTCAGGTCACTGCTGAGTTGAGAGCAGATACCAGAGATATGTCTCATGGAGCTGAGCTGGCGGCCGCCGCGCCGGTGCACGCGTACTTGCGCTCGTGACATCCGTGCTGGGGGCACTCGTATGCGAACCGTGGTGGCGTTGCCTCTGTGACCCGGGGGCTACCTGGCCGGCTCGAATACGCGGCGATGGCGGGCAGGGCGCCCGAGTTCGATGCGGACGTTGAGTGCTTCGGTGCTTATACGCGGCGGTTAAATCAGTACTTTGTGGCGCAAGATATCGGGAGTGATCAAGAAGCAAAGAAGCGGGCCGTTCTGCTTTGTGCGATCGGCGCAAAAACGTTCGGTCTGCTGGAAGATCTTATTGCTCCAGCCACTGTAAGGCAGAAAACATACGATCAGCTGGTCAGCGTTTTGCAAAGTCACTTCGAGCCGGATAAATCTGAAATAGTGGCCAGATTCCGGTTTCATTCGTGCTCCAGGAATGACGGTGAGACAGTTGCTAATTTTCTAGCGCGGCTTCGTAAGCTGGCTAAAGACTGTTCGTTCGCACCTAATGTCCTTAATGAAATGCTGCGTGACCGTTTGGTCTGTGGCATACGGAACGAGTTGCTGCAACCTTGCTTCTCAGTGAGCCGGGGCTGACGCTCCAGTCGGCGGAGCAGCTGGCTCAGGCACACGAGTCGGCGGCAGGGAGTGCGGCTGAGCTCAGCGGCGGTGCTGAGCAGCGAGCAGATGGAGCCTCCGTTCATCGGCTGACTGGTGCCCGGGGTCCGCTGCGGCTGCGTAGCAGTTCTAGGGGTGCCGGTGCTGCCCGCGCTCCTGCCGGCTACAGGGACGGCGGTGGCGGCGCAGCGGACTCCAGAGCTGGTGGTCGGCTGCGCTCTCAGCGTGACAGGACGACGCCCGGGCCAGGTGACAGCACGGCGGCGAGCTGTTTTAGGTGCCTGAGGTATCATCAGCCGGCCAAGTGCCCGTTCATCGATAAGGTGTGCTACAGCTGTGGCCTCAGGGGTCACGTCCGAGTACCTCCGCCATGTCTCGGCTGATGGCGACGCGTTACAAGGGTCGGACGCGCAGGAGGGTAGCAGAGAGGACGGCACTATGCAACCGAGGAGTTCTAGTCCCGGGACCGGTGAGGAGGTGTACATACAGCATTTTCACCGTCCGGACCGGCCTCGGTGTCAGGCGACCGCCGCTGATGGTGCCGGTAGCGCTCGACGGTCAGAAGGTCGAGATGGAGCTGGACACCGGGGCGACTCTGTCGGTCTGCTCTGACGCCGGGTTTCGGCAGCTCTGGCCCTGTGGAGGGCCGAAGCTGGAACCGTGTTCGGTGAAGCTGAAGACCTACAGCGGTGAGCAGCTGCCAGTCATGGGGCAGGCTGCAGTGAACGTTCAGTACGGCGGACAGGCTCAGCGACTACCTCTCATCGTAGTCGAAGGTGGCGGGCCCTGGCTGTTCGGCAGGAACTGGCTGGGACACATCAGGCTCGACTGGCCCTCCATCTGTTGAGTGACTGCGGAGACCCGTGTGCAGCCCATCCTGGACGAGTTCGCTGACGTTTCAAGGAGGAGCTGGGCTGCTATCGAGGCGGGGAAGTCGGCATCGACGTAGACCCGGACGTCCAGCCTCGTTTCTTCAAGCCTCGCACCGTACCGCTGGCCTTCAGGGAAGCTGTGGACACCGAGCTGGAGGACCAGATCCGTGGCGGACTCTGGGAACAGGTACGGCACAGCAAATGGGTGGCTCCCTTGGTGGTTGTCCCAAGGCTGGGGGTCAGTCAATACGGGTGTGTGGGGACTACCGCTTGACCGTCAACAGGGCTGCTAAGGCAGAGCAGTATCCCTTGCCGCGTGTGGAGGAACTGTACTCAAAACTGTCGGGACGTACCATATTTTCAAAGATCGACTTGAAAAACGCGTATAATCAGCTTCCGCTAGATGAAAAGGCCCGCGAGTATTTCACGGTAAACACCCCGAGGGGTCTTCTTCGACCCCTTCGGTTGACCTTCGCCTATTCGAGTGCAGTGTCGCTGTTCCAGCGGACGCTGGAAACTGTCCTGGCTGGTATCTCTGGCGTTGGGGTCTTCTTGGACGACATTGTAGTCGCGGGTGTCGATGCCGCTGCGCATGACGAGGCCCTCCGGCAGGTTCTTAGACGGCTGGAGGAAGCGGGTTTTAGGCTCAACAAGGCCAAGTGTAGCTTCAGCGTCAGCAGCGTGACCTATCTGGGGCTAAAGATAAGCAGCCGTGGTGTGGAGACCACCGACGAGAAAACGGCCACGATTGTCCGTGCCCCGGAACCGCGGGATGGTACGGAACTGCGTAAGTGGCTAGTAATCAACTACTATGGGAAATTCCTTGAGAACCTGGCGAGTGTCTTGGCTCCGCTCTATCGTCTTCTAAAGGCAGATCAGCCCTGGCAGTGGGCTGAGGCAGAGAAGTCTGCTTTTCGGAAAGCCAAAGAGATGCTAGTTAGCCCTCCTGTACTAGCCCATTTTGATCCCGCCCTTCCGGTGGTTCTCGCCTGTGACGCGGGACCGGTCGGCATTGGCTGTGTGTTGAGTCAGCGGACATCACAGGGCGAGCGACCTGTGGCCTACTATTCGCGCACGTTGAATGACACCGAAACTAGATACTCACAGACTGATAAAGAGGCATTAGCTGTAGTGACCGGCGTTAAGAAATTTCACTATTACCTAGCGGGGCGAACTTTCACTATACAGTCAGATCATAAGCCTCTCATAGGCCTCATAGGAGAGCAGAAACCTTTGCCCGTGATGGCGTCACCTAGGATGGTCCGCTGGGCTCTGATGCTTGAGGCCTACGATTACCACCTTGAGTACCGGCAAGGATCTAAGCAAGGCCACTGTGACGCGCTTAGCAGGCTGCCTTCGTGCGAGAAGGCTTGTTCGAGCGTTCCAATTCCGGCTGAGACTGTCCATTTACTTGAGTTCATCGACTCATCCCCAGTGAATGTGTCCCAGATACAGCGGTGGACCGCTCTGGATCCCGTGTTGTCAGCGGTACATCGATATGTCAGAGGTGGCTGGCCGGATGTCAATAGTGTTTCCCTCAGCCCTGATTTTCAGCCGTACAGGTCCCGTATAGGTGAACTGAGTGTGCAGGATGGCTGTGTTTTGTGGGGGTCACGAGTCCCGCCGCAGGGACGGGTGTGCCATGTTAAAGTTATTACATGAAGGTCATGCTGGCGAGTGTAGAACCAAAATGTTGGCTAAAATGTATGTTTGGTGGCCAAAAATCGATGACGACATTCGTGATATCGTGAAGTGTTGTGTGAAGTGTCAGGAACTGAAGGGCAGGGCCCCTGACGCTCCACTGCATCCTTGGCAGTGGCCGACTCGACCCGGCAGCGAGTCCATGTAGACTATTGCTCGGCTAACGGATAGATGTTTCTGGTGATAGTCGACGCCCACTCCAAATGGATGGACGTCTACCCAACTCGTTCCTCCGACTCACTGATCACGATTGAAAAATTACGAGCGTCGTTTGCGTGCTGGGGAGTGCCAACAGTGCTAGTGACAGACTACGCCCAGTGTTTTGTATCACAGCAGTTCAAAACGTTATGCAGTGTAAATGCGATCAGGCACTTAACGACACCCAGCCTATCACCCAAATCAAACGGCTTAGCCGAAAGAAGCGTGCAAAGCTTCAAAAACGGGCTGTACAAACAGATCTCGGGGTCCATTGAGACCAAGGTCTCTCGATTTCTGTTAAGGTACCGCACAACACCGCATACTACGACCTCATGTACGCCCGCCGAATTATTTCTGGGTCGTGTGCCACGCACTCATTTAGATGGTGTGCTACCAGATAGGCAGGAGCGTATACGGAGACAGCAGGAGGCTCAAAAGACGTACCGTGATCGAAATGCCCGTGAACGATGTCTGAACCCGGGTGACCCTGTGTATGTGCCTGCTGTCGATAGATTGCAGGGATTGGAGCGTTGTCGGTGGGCGCCCGGTCGTGTAGTGTTCGTAGAGGGTTAAGGTCACTGTGGAGCTAAATGACGGAAGGGTGATTGTGCAGCACGCCGACCAGGTTCGTGAGCGATATTCAGCTGTTCCGCATGTCGCTAACGATCCTCTCCGTTCCAGAGTGACACCGATACCTGCTCCTGATCCGGTCACGGAGAGCGCCGCTGCATCTGCACGGCATGCTCCCGTTCCCGGACAACTGGCCTCCACTCCCGACCGGCTGCCGGCTCCTGATCGAGCGCCTACTCCTGGCCGGCCGCCTGTTCCGGCGCCGCCCGGGCTGACCGGAGCGGTGCCCGCGCCGGGTGTGACCACCGTCCCGCCGTCCGCACCCTCTCCCAGCGCGCCGCGGTACCGGCTGAGAGACCGGTCCACCCTGCAGCCCCCAGACCGATACGTGGCGAGCTATGAGTAGGCGTTTTGTTTCAGTTGTTATTTGTTCTGTGAGGTGCATATTTATTTGTTTGTCCATGCTGTGCAAGTATTCGGGGTGGAGGAGTGTCATGGAGCTGAGCTGGCGGCCGCCGCGCCGGTGCACGCGTACTTGCGCTCGTGACATGCGCTCATGACACTCGTATGTGAACCGTGGTGGCGTTGCCTCTGTGACCCGGGGGCTACCTGGCCGGCTCGAATACAGTTTGGACCGAGACACCGTCTGTGATAATATGCATTCATCCAATTTTCCAGCTTCCACATAAAACAAGAAACTGTGCGAGCAGATATGGCGAAAAAATAGATGTCCGGATAATTTCGTTACACCCTGTATGTTCTAGTGCAAACTAATGCTATGATGCTAGGGGAGCGGCTGCAGGCTGGCGTAGCGCGTGCGGCCTTACGGTGGTTGGGTGAACGTGCCGCCTTCTGCTGTGGGGTGGGTGGGTTGGGGGAGGTCCTCCTTGACCCCGTGCCGGCCCCGCCACCTGTGCTGCGCCATCTTTGGGCTGGCGACGGTGTGGAAGCGCGTACCTTCCGTCAGTTTTCCAGGCATCTGAAGTCTGAACTCGGCGCTGGCCCTGTCGTCGATGTCTGCGCGTGAGCCGTGGCGGGTGCCACAGCCTGCTGGCACCGGCGGGTACGTGCCGTGTACATGTGGTGCGGACTGCGGCACCGACTTGAACCACTCGAAGCCAACGGAGACCAGCCACCCTCATTCTCTCAGATTTATGTGAACGACCCACGAGCCGAAATACTGATGCCGAGGACCACGCACGCATTGTGGCATTACACAGAGAACACCTATTACATCCGGGAACGACTCCGAACGGCCATTTTCGGGAAAGTTACCGTCCGCGGTGAATATTCCTGCAGGAATATGCTCTGAACGTATCAACCGAATTTGATGTTAGTGCCGGACCCGTGGACTCAGAACTGCGTCACTAATGCCTGTTCATAAATGTAGCGCGGCGTGAGCCATCCATGGACTGCGTGTTTCTTTTTTCCAACCAAAGGTAGGCACTATACCTGAAGATGCTTCTTTGTAACCAAACCAAACAAAAACTAACAACCTAACCTAACCTAACTTGATCTAACCTACAGCCTACAAACCTACAACGCGCTAAAAAATTCAGCCGCCGGCGGGATTCGAACCTTCGGTCCCCTGAACACGGGGCGAGTGCACTAACCAACCACTACACCTCGCAGACAGCTGGCCGGATAAAGGTGTTGTAAGTCACTTGACAATGACGCGCTGGGATATACTCCGTATAGCGCCTTCCTTTGATTGGAAAAAAGAATTACGCCCGTGGACTAGCCTCTTCAACTCCGTAGCAGTGTCTCCCAATCTGCGGAAAGCTCAGCTGGTCGCATGATAACCGTGGCGAAGTTTTCTGGCTCTGCTTCAACGGCTCCTTCATATTCCCTTCATATCAGCATAAGCCAGATTTAGGCTAACTTGCAATTAAACGATCAAAAATGTTAGCTTAAGTTTCGTTAGGGTAAATTAAACGGTGTTTTATTTGGTTAGGCTAAGCCCGAAAAACGCGTATATATGCGTCCGGTACTATTTTTGAAAAGCGCCCGAACCACTATTTTGCTAATTCTTGTCACCTCAATGGGAATATGCAGCAATATTAGCTTCTATAGGGAGCAAATGGACCTCCCAAATCCAAAAATACAATCAGATTTCAAAAATTTAAATTTTGATTTTTCGAATTTCTGCCGCCGACTGTGACCTTGCCGACTTCCGGCGCTCCCAACGCGCCATTTTGAGAGCTAGGGAAACGAAATACATACCAAACGATAGAGAATTGATCAAGGAACACGATAGTGAAGGTTTCAAGTCGATATCTCCCACCGTTTTGCCGCAATCGCCGCCGAAAGTTGAAAAAAGTCTATTTTTCCGAAAATTTGACCTTTGACCGGTCAAAAGTAGGTCAAATGTTGACCTAGGACCAAAAAATATACCACCAATCGCGAGATCTCGTTGAGAGTAATCAGTTGGTTTTTTCCGCTAAGCTCTACGACCTTCCGTTTCGAAACGCCAGGGGGGGGGTCGTAACAACCCCCCCTGGTCGTTAGTGTTATGAGAAATGGCCTGGTCGTGCGAGGGTTAACCCTCGCCGGCCGAGGGGGGGGGGGGGCGGGTGCCGCCCCCCCATAGGGTTTTTTCGCGATAGCTCCGAACACGCTGGCGATAGAGAGCTGAAACTTGGCATACCTGACCTTTGATCCAAGCCGGATCTTTTGACACCAACCGCATTTTTGGGTCAGGTCAGGTCACTGACCTATGACGTCATAAGTGAACCTCTGCACGGTCTTCAGATGTCGCAACTTCGCAACGCCCTCACTGCCAGAGGAGATGTCACAGGGAAATGAAACTTGCAGGATCTAGTATCCATTATGAGTCCCACAACTTGTATATCTCGGATTTTTCCTAAAGGTCATATGAGGTCAGGTCATTTTCGTGACCTCACCATTATAAGTCAATGGGGAAAAATGAAAACTGCTATTCTGGCGCCGGGAACGATCTCCAACTATCTCAAGCACACAGAATCGTGATTTGATGCACTCCTTGCAAGGTTAGATGCGTCACTTTTGCAATGTTGACCTTCCGTGACGTCATTTATGACGTCATCAAGGTCATATTAGTTTTTCGTCAATAACTCTTGATCAAATTGAGCTAGCGAGTCGGGAAAGCCACCAATGGACTCAGGAAGACCTGCCGAATCGAATGATATGCGACATGACCTCTTTCGACCAATTTCGTGACCTGGGGGTGCTGACCTGACCTTGACCTGAGGTCAACACCCCAAGTTGACCTGACCCGGACAAAAAGTATATCATTCGACGCGCCTGAGCGAGACGAACACGATGGTGCCAAAATCGGCGCTCTGCGGCCGTTTTTTGCGAAGTTATTCACCAAAAACTGAACCGTACCTTGGGGCACTTGACCTGACCTCAGAGGTCACCGGTTGACCTAGGACCTTAAAATCGGGTACCAATCTCTGCGTCCCGTAACGGCGCACACGCTCGTTTTTTCCGCGACGCGCTAGCTCCACCAGGGGCGAAACGGCGAGGGGGGGGGTCGTACCCGCCCCCCCCCCCCTCGGCCGGCGCGTATGTAGAAAACCAATAGGTCCGGCGAGGGTTAATGTCTGATGTGGAAGGTCCTGCTTCCATCAATGAGAGTGCCTACTTACCTGTTATGTATTGAAAATGGTGCAGTTTTGAAATACATCTGTGAGAGATGAAAGTTGTCTGTGAGAATGTGTCAAGGTGGATCAGAGTTTGTGCATTGCAACCAGAATATGAATTGAGACTCTGGAAGACCATAATCAGCACTAGTTAATTCTAACACTGAACACTCCCTCCCCTCCAGGCTCCAAAACTTGATTGTCATACCTAATTTTGGTATTTTTATGCCAAAAGCAACAAATGAATTTCAGCTTTACATGTGGTGTGTGGAGCTACAGCTTCCAGCCAGCAGGAAATGCATTTCTAAATGAGCTATGCTTGACTTCATTCAGACCCCATTTCACTTCCATAACATATCATGAGTCACGAAGAGAGAGCAACATTATTCATTATTACGAAATATGAATGCTTTTAATTTTTATTCACCTTGCCCGGGCCCAGGCATGTACATAGTTACTATCAATGTACATGATAGAACAGATAAAATCAGATGGTCAAACACAGCAGGGGTCCAAAAAGTTTGCCGACTGTCTCCCTCCTAGAAACGTACAGGTCAAGTGTCTCCATACAAAAATGTATCAATATACCTGACATATACGTGCATGTGACAATATACCTGTGACATATATTGACACATAGGATAGGCAAAGCGATTGCGATTGCTTGCAAGAAAAGCGAGAGGATGGGCTATAAATAGCCTCCCCTAGTGGGGTGCCAGTTTAATAAACAAACAGCTCTGATCTTATAGAATAGATTTCAGAATAACCTAAACTTCTACAGCCTGTAAATGCTGTGGATCAGACTAGGCACTAAGAAGCAGAGTAATGGGCAAAGGCATAGACAAATAGACATTCTGGTCAGGCCATGGGACAGCATTCATCATGTAGTAACTTACCAGTTGGATTCTTAAAAAAAAAATTGACAACATGCTTTATGATCTATCATTCTTGATGGCTAGGAAATGCTTGATTGTATTCTTAAATCTTAACCCGCGCACCGACGGGGGTCTGCGCCAACTTAGTACCGACGGGGGGGGGCGGATGACCGCCCCCCCTGAGATCTCGAGAACGAAGCAAGATAGCGACAAGCGGTAAACGGCATCGGATACGCACGGTCAAGATCTACAATTTTTACTAAGGTCATTTTCAGGTCAGGTCAAAGATGACGTCACAGGGGTCGAAAAAGTCAAAATGGCGGCGCTAAATATGGAGAGAGTTTTTCTCGAATAACTTTCGAATTAGTTAAGATAGGAACAAACTAAGGGCATCATCGTGATCCTCTCGTCAATCCGCATCGAATGATATATATGTTGACCTCGAAAGGTCAAGGTCAAAGGTTGACCTCAGGTCACGTGACCTCGAGGTCATCATGTATATCATTCGATGCGTCTTGACGAGCTGAACACAATGAGACCATCCACGCGTCTGTATCTTGTTCCTGTACGGAGTTATTGGCCAAAAACCTTTGGTGACCTTTGATGACGTCACATGACCTCACAGCTGCCCAACAGCAAAACAGACCTCAAGGTAGTGAAGGTTGATCGTATATGAAGTCATGTATGGTATATGGGGCCATTCCGACCCGTTTTAGTGGTAAAAACAGGGAGTTGATTTTTCCCCCATTGACTTATAATGGGGAGGTCGCGAAATTGACCTGACCTTAGGTCACCGATATCAAAATTCCGAGATATACAAATTGTAGCTACTAATAACCTAATAACATCCTGCGACTTTCAAAGGCCTCCGACATCTACTGTAGCTCTGGCACGGTGACAAAGTTGCAAAAAAGTGGCTTGAGGTTGGGTCATTCAAAGTGACCTGGTGACCTGACCTTGAAAGGTAGGAGGTTCAAACTTGCACATCATGTGTAAAATTGATAAGGGAATAGTCATACCAAATTTCGCGGCGCTACGCGCCGCGGTTTTCCCGCTATTCGCGAAAAACCTCAGGGGGGGGGCGGATATCCGCCCCCCCCGTCGGTGCGCGAGTTAATACAGAATAATATTGTTTTTGCCAC